GCAAGCATGCATGCAGTTGTACTTTCCCGCCGCTCAGCTGACTCAGCTAGATATAAAAATGGAGGAAGAAACGTACGATCTACGAGAAACGCACGCGGTTATTGTATGTCATGTGTCACCCGCTTCAACCACCAGGCAGGTAAGTTGCCGTGTGTACACATGACATGCATGTACAACATAAGAAGTCAGCTGCTGTAGGACCTAGACTATAGTTATCATCTTGTTCGTGTCGACTAAATTTCTCTCACCAAGCAACGCACATACGGGGATGCTGCAAGGGACAAGATGCAGACTTAGCGAGTAAGGCTCGGCGGTGGAAGGGATAATATATTGACCACATGTACATATGACGGCGCACGGGCAAACAGTACGCGAGACCACGGTGGACTTGCCCACGGTGGACTGCTGTGCAAATTATTACGCATCATCGCAGCATCATCATCATCATCGAGGGTGTATGTAGTACCATGACAAATGTGGTGTAGTCTACAACAGTAGCCATCTTCATGTATGTACGAGTACATGGATGGGGAGGGTGCGAGGACGAGGATATCGCAATATGGTCACACGGCACACGGCGCGCGGGTAGCACTGCTGCCATTTGGTAATAACCCAGCTGTTTGATCCCCCCTGCAGTTACAGCAGTAGTTGGNTAAGAAGGTGTTCTTTGGCGAGTTGTCTTTTTTTGAGGGGGAAAAAAGAAAAAGATCTAATAAAAAAGACTTCGTAAGAAATGGCCTTAGATACGTGAGCAGCAGGGAAGCTGGTGCGACCNTAGACTACTGCTCTACAGCAGCCAGCCGACAGCTTCGCTAGCTCCTTAGATACGTAAGCAGCAGGGAAGCTGGTGCGACGNAGTTGTCCAAAACTGCCCAAAAAAAAGACAGGATGGGCTGTCCAAAACGGGTTGTCTTTTTTTGTTGTCCTTTTTTCCCTGAAAAAAGACATCGTAAATATAAGAAGGTGTTCTTTGGCGAGTTGTCTTTTTTTGAGGGGGAAAAAAGAAAAAGATCTAATAAAAAAGACTTCGTAAGAAATGGCCTTAGATACGTGAGCAGCAGGGAAGCTGGTGCGACCAAACCACAACAATGGGTACTCTGCAGGCAGGGCAGGGACCTGCTCCCTGCTCCTGCTACCATCACTGTGACTGATCGCACAGAACCAGCAGTAGCAGCTCAGCAGTAGTACACCGAGCCTACCCGAGCTGTACCCGAGGGAACAGCTCCTGAGCGTGTACTGTACTAGGATCGTTAGTAACTACTAACGAACCAACCAGCGTAGAGCAAACGCGGCGCGTTGTGCTCCGATGGATGCGGGGCTACAGCAATCATGTCCCCTTACTTTTCTCACATATGTACGGCCATCACCTTCCTCAACTCCCTTTCCAAAATATTGGAACCACGCCGTTCATTTCTTCCTAATACATCCTAGTCTAAGTCCTATATGTTACTGGGGTTGGGTGGTGAAGGACCCTCCCGGAGCGGCATTAGGCCTGTCCTCCATCGGCCGTTTTATTTTCGATTTACATACACAAACTTTATTTCTTTACTAATTTCAAGTAATTCCACCTTCTTATTCTCCGTCATACAATCAAAACGGCCGATGGAGGACAGGCCTACGTAAGCGGCATTGATTTTTTGAGTTTTTTTGCGAAGCGCAACTACTGCTGAAGGATATCAATGACTTTGACCTGTTCACGTGTGTTGGCTATGTCGTGAACAACACGACATGCGCTCGGATCTTTCCCTCTATCAAAAATACAAGCTGTTGAGGTTTATTTGCGTATGTGCATATGTGCTTCTGTTGCGGATAATGTTTGTTGTCCCGTTTGTGGAAAACAATGCCAAATATTATCATGACGCACTACTCCGCTGTCTGATGTATCAGTCAACGGAAGTTCACCGCATGTCAGAGAAGAGGGCATAACCACGTCTAATCATCCACACATAAGAGGTGCACACCATTAAGCGGGGAGCCTTTTGAACCTTCCCCCGTCGAATCCCGACGGGAAAAACAAGTGCAAAGTGAGACCCGTCGTTTCTTTTCGCCCGACTCGGTGGCAGGGACAACAGGCAGATCACTCATCATGCATGACCCACGTAACGCACGACCAAGAGTCGTGAAGGAGGGGTCGCTTATACACTGCTGAAGGTGGAAGCGAAAAGTCGCCGGCTGCGCGGGACTTCGTTTGCCTGATGGGCTAAAAAAGCCACAAAGGGGTGATCAAGGACCAACATGTTGCCAAATGAGCTCCACATCAGTGTCGCCTGGTAATACTACTGCTGTGCAATGCCCCGCACCTCTACAACCGGTAGCAACAACACAGCAACGAATAATCACATCTTAGACTATGTCCCAACAAATGCCGCATGGCTTTCCTATTTCAGACCGAAGCAACGCTTCGACGATTGGCGGTGATACATGTTCAACCGCTTCTGCCTACGACCAAATAACGTCCGTAAGATGTGCACCCTCCCTCAGAAGTGCTTCTTGAGACAGGGTCACCAATCGAAGGCCTCTCCCTCTGTTCCAGGACAGTTATCCCCCCCCCTACCCCAGACCCGCGATCACCCCTTGCATCGCCGGTGAACGAATCATGACATCGATCGACCAAGATAATCAACTCCTCCAATCGACCAATCAAATCGTCGCCGCCTCCGCGCGTCAAAATATTTGTGCCCTCTAGCGATCCCCCCCCACCAACAAACCCAAAAACGTGTGACGAGACCATCAGATACAAAAGGCATCGTCAGTCAACAGTCAGTTCGAAACACGTAGGAAATAAATCCCATTACAACTCTACTCGCTGAAGATGTCCACCTCCTCCCAGTCGTCCATGCCCGAGTGGAAAACCTTGGCGAGGAACTCTGCCTCGTCCTCCGCCGCGCGCTCCTGGCGCTCAACGCGCAGGATTTTCTTTCTGGAGGTACCCTGTGATTGGCGTGTGGAAAACCAATGGGGCGAAGGGTACTTGTTGGCCTGAATTAACGGAGGGGGAGCGATCTCCCCATGAAGGTGAAACGTATGTACCAGGTCAACACGAGGGAAACAATGCAACACATGGACGACAACAAGAGCAACAGCAACGATACAGAACAGGATGCCATGAACAATTTCCACGG